GTCTTTATTTTACAGTTAAAATATATGTTTATCAAATAAAGTCTAATGTTACAACTTATCATGGCTCCCTTTAATGCATCTTTACTCTATATTCAACCATTAAACTCTATTTAAAGAAGTCATCCTGTGGATTAACATTCCCTCCTTACACAGGGCATAAAAAAGAGAGGCCCAAACATAGAGAGAGAGATGGAGGGAGAGGGGAAAAAAAGGACCAACCTAAAAGCTTTACATTCATGTGCTGCTCTGCCTCGTTGTAAATAACAGCCAAAAGCATTTAGGGAGGACAGAGGTAATCCAAACAAACCCTGAAAATCTTCCGGAGATAACTCATATCAAACCCATCAGGACTGGGAGGATCCTTTTTTTTTTAACTTAGTCACTCACAAAACCAGGACRCCCCCTAAAAAAGGGAAAAAAACAAAACATGTCTTCTATGAGGGGCTTCATAAACATTTCATATGTAATTCAAACTCTAATCAATCACACTTATATGAGTCAAACATGAGCAGGATGTAAAACCTGAACAACACAGATGTGATCAGAGKCTGAACTGAAGAAGTGTGAAACTTATCTTATTTCATTAACAGCCATTAGTTACTTCAGCCAAACGCAAATGGGRAAGCCTGTAACTGTTTGCCTAACAGATAAGCCCTTATACATCCTTATCTTTACACTTATTTGCATTTTTACAGGCACTAACAAGAGCAGAAMCCCCCACTTATTGTGTGAAGGGTCTCCCCGTGCCGCGGCTTCATGGTGGGAGAGACAAAAGGACCCTGATGAGGAAAAGGCAAAGATCATTTACATGAGAGGAGAAGCTGAGTGATGGCAGCACAGCAACAGTTTGGAGACACGAGGATCTCCGGAGAGAGAGAACACAAACCAAACAGATTTATAAACATAAACAAGATGATGGAGCGCCAGGGTCAGCCTGAACACATCAGCTCCGAAGCAACAAGTTTGAAATGTTGAGTCAGGATGAACCGCAGGCAGAGGGAACCACGGGAACGGAGAGACAGCTCGGAGACTCACCAGACGCGCTCACGAGGAGCAGGACGGTCCAAAGAGCGCAGGATGGACATGTCCAGAGACGCAGGCTCACCGCTGCCCGATGTGGATCCATTCCTCCGGCTTTGTGTTACACCCTCATAATAAAAATAATAATATATATAAAAAAAGTAAAATAAAAAAATAAAAATGAGCGACTCAAAATTCAGAACGACTGCTTCCGCCTCCGCGTCAAAAGCGCACCTCGGGGTGAAGGAACGGGGRAAAGTCTCTCCTGACTTCGTCCCGACAGCGTCTCCTTCAAATGAGCGCAACTCCTTCCAGCAAACCTCAGAGATCAGAGGTTCCACAGGAGCCGCATGGTTCTGGTCAGACGCGCGACGCCACCATGTGGTCACAGAAGGAAGTATTAGCYCCTTGTTTGACTTTTTATTTTTTTTAATTTTCCTGAAGGGGCGAGTTAAAATAAACCGCTCAAGATTTATTTAACTGTTGTTCATCTGTTGGTTAAGCTGTAAAACTCAAACCATGAGCAACCAGCTTCCGGTCAGGCGTGCCGAGTTCTCTCTGCAGCAGCAGGTGCGTTAATTGCGGCTGCGTTCCATTTTTAAACGACACACAGTATSGAACTGACCCATCTTTCGTTTCACAAGTCTGAAATGAAAGATGCACAAAGCGGAAAAGTAACCTTATTTGTTCATAAACTGATTAATTTTCCAGTTTTATCCTTCATCACCTTGGTAAAAAATACAGACATCAGATAATGTAAAGTGCACCAGTCAAACTTAAGGCGCGTGGGCCAAATGTGGCCTGTGGGCGACTTCTGTCCAGCCCACCAATGATCCCCCATTTCTGGCTTAATTTAATATAAAAAATGGTTTTCAAATCAATTGTATCTTTAAATGTATGATTCAATTCAACAAAATAAACAAGTTTAAAATGTGATAGATAACTTGTCTGGCCGCTGAGCTGCTGGCTTTGAGTAACTGTGCCCCCACCCCCCCCCCCCCACACACACACACACAACTTAGTTGAACAAACCCTGTGTGAATCTAAAAATAAAAAGTAAACATGCAGCAGGACGCCCTGTAATGTTTCAAAATGAGCGGCTTTAAAGCCAGCTTTGACCATAAACTACATCTCCCATAATGCATGTTGATTATTTCTCCCCCCCCCCCACCAAAATGATGACATCCTACCACTAGGTGGGGCTGCACAGGATTTAAAAGTAGCCAGCAGCCGGTGAAAATCAGGTAAAATCTACATTTAGCTGCATTGTTGCTGCTACTTTTGCTGCAGTCCAGTTGTACTTGGAAGTGGGAATTTCCCAGTTACAAGTCAGAAATTTAAACTAGAACACCCCTTTGGTGGAAATTCTCAGTCTGAATGTTGGAGAGTTCAGAATTCAAGATGGCAGCTACTCACAACACAACAGTGAGTAAAACTC